TTTTTGTTTGGCCTAATTCAGCCTGTCTCTTTTTTGCACCTTTTCCCATCAGCAGTTGTTATGGGTTATTGTGACAGCTTTTGAATTTACACTCACTTTTTACAGTTGCGCTCCCAATTAGGGTAACTTTTGTAGGCCCAATTGTCACAACATTAGTTACCTAAGTCATCTAATTAGGGAACAGAAACAATATAACAACATGTAATGTAACAAAATAATGTGCTTTAGGAGTCTCAAAATTAAAGTGTTTGCAGTGAACAGTTTGTGACTTATTCATAGGGAAACATAATCCATAAACAAGTGGCAAATAATTTCAAATAAATAAATCTGAAAATGTCATGAGCTGCCCACAAATTTTCTGAACGGAGGAAGAGATGAAATTGAGCACTTAAAATTTATGTCAGCATATGTACGTTGGTCAGTATCACGTGTGTGAAAATAACTACTGTAGGTTTGCAACCATGGTAGTTCATTCTGTATTGTCCTCTGCTAATCTCTTTGTGGATGAATCATCCTTTTGATCCACCCAGGATACTACATCATGCATCCAAGATCTTTTTTTCTGCCTCATATTCTTCTGCCATTAACGTTCCCTTCCAGTGCCCATAAACATACACCACCCAATGAACCTCTTAAATGTGCCCTGCAAATCAAATCTTCCTTTTCATAAGATCTCTGAATGGAAAACCATCAGGTTGTGATGGAATATAGGCTGAACTGTTAAAAAGCATAGGTTATGAAGGCTTGAAAGCCCTATCAGAATAATGAAGAATATGTTTGAAACAGAAGAATTGCCAGAAGACTTTACTACCTCAATGTGTATCCAAATCAACAAAAGACCAACTCTATGGATTGTAAAGACTATGGAACAATCAGCCTACTATTGCATGCCTCCAAGATACTTTTGTGAGTTGTTCAAGACCACATACAAAGAAAAATTGTTAAGGAAATAAGCAAACAACAATACTGCTTCAAACGTGGAAAGTGCACAATAATCATCAATCTGAACTTGAAGCTCCTACAAGAAAGTTCAGTTGAAATGACAAAAACAGTATACTTGTGTTTTGTTGACTTCCAAAAAGCATTTGACAGAATCTACGACTACAAATAGCTCAACATATTAAGATCTGTAGGGATTGATGGATACAAACTCTGAGTCATAAGACAATTTATAGTGAAACCAGAAGGATATTATAATGGGAGATGAAAATAAAAATCTGACAGAGATCAAGAGAGGAGTGAGACAAGGTTGCATAATGTCCCCGAATGTATTCAATATTTATTATGCATGTTTGATTAAATTAATAGAAGAAACAGATGAAGATAGTAAGATGAATGGAAATAGGTGAGTAACATTCACTATGCAGATGATACAGTGTTGTTGATGATTTAGAAAAAGGTCTGATGAAGTTAGTGGAGATTATGAGTATGGCAAAGAATATGGTTTAGAGTTGAATGTGGACAAGACAAAACTCTGGTGTTATGCAAGCATCCTGGAAAAACATGAAAGATTCCAATGTACCACACAGCCATACAGCCAGTGAGAAATTATTGCTACTTAGGAAGCATAAGTACAGAAGATGGAAGATAGGATACTGAAGTTAGCACCAGAACAGCAAGAGCAAAAGACACATTCTGAAAGAATAAGCCTCTGATGAGAAGGGAAATAAATCTGATGACTAAATTATGACTTTTAAAAACTTACATTTGTTTTTTTTTAAATTACAGATGTGAAACATGGACATGCAACAATTAATAATAGAAACGATAACCCTTTGAATTATGGTATTATAGAAGAATTCTCAAAATATCATGGCTAGATCGCATAACTAATGAAAAAGTATTGGAGACTATTTGAGTTTAGCAAATGCTAGTCAGAGATTTTATGAAAAGAAAGAACATTATCTTAAACGCCTTAAAATTGGTTCTTCTCTGTAGTCATTAGATGTTTACCATGCATCATCAGACTTCCAAGACAGGACTGCAAGACAGACACTGATCCGGCAAAAACCAGTTATTCATGGGCTTACCCTTAAGCATTTAGGTAATCCCATTCAATTAAACTCATGATGGAAAGGATGGTCAAGGCACTAGCCGAAGACTATGGATCTGTTCTTAATTCCTTTTCACACAGACTTCCTGTGTGACCTTGGCCAAGTCACTTAGAACTATCAACATGAACGTTTCTTTTCGTGGCAAGCTGGGGTGTGAATCTACCATGCACTAGCCTACCAAGAACTAACTCTGCATATGGACCCAACTGATGCACACTAATAATTTGTTAGTGAGTTTTAATCTACTGCTGTTTTAAAGTGCGGTAGATCAAAGTACATTCACAAACTGTTAGCAAGCAACAGCAGGGTCCACATGGATAGTTAGTGTGTGGCAGGCTCGTATGGAGTAGATTCAGCACCCACCTCCCCACACAGCTTTCCATGAAATAAATGTGCACATGGACAAGCCCTCAGTCTCTCTGTGCCTCAGTTCCCTGTCTGTAAAATAGGGATAATAACACTTTGCAGTGGTGTTGCAAGGATAAAAACCTTAAAGATTGTTAGGTGCTTAGATATTATGGTAATGGGAGTCACAGAAGTACCACAGATGGACAGATAGAGTAGATTACTCACATGCATAGAGTTAAATACATGTTTGCAAGATCAGGGCTTTCGTCTGTTATTTTTTAACCCCAAATCCCAAATGGCGACAGCCTCACCCTCCCTTTCTTCACTATCTCCTCTGATAGAGTGAGGGCTATTTCACTTCTCTGGGACAGTCTGTGTGAAATTCTCAAACGAGAGCCTAAGGCTTCAATATTAATAAACATGATTTCTTCAGGTTAGAAAGAAAAACAAATGGAAAAGAAATGATCTCTGCGTAGTATGACAGTGTTGGTGAGGTAAGAACATAAGAGCGGCCATACTGGGTCAGACCAATGGTCCAGCTAGCCCAGTATCCTGTCTTGGCCAATGCCAGGTGCTTCAAAGGGAATGAACAGAACAGGCAATCACGTGATTCATCCACTGTCATCCACAGCTTCACACAGACAGAGGCTAGGGACACTCAAAGCATGGTTTTGCATCCCTGCCCATCCTGGCTAATAGCCATTGATGGACCTATCCTCTTGCGAACTTACCTATTTCTTTTTTGAAGCCTTTTGTAGTTTTGGCTTTCACAACATCCCGTGGCAATGTGTTCAACACGTTGACTGCATTGTGTGAAGTACTTCCTTTTGTTTGTTTAAAACCTGCTGCCTATTAATGTCATTGGGGGACCACTAGTTCTTGTGTTATGTGCAGGAGTAAATAACATTTCCTTATTCACTTTCTCCACATCAGTCAAGATTTTATAGACCTCCACCATATCCCCCCTTAGTTGTCTCTTTTCCAAGCTGAAAAGTCCCAGATAATATCTTTTACTGGACCAACTTCTGTTGGTGAGAGAGACAAGCTTTCAAGCTACACAGAGCTCTTCTTCAGGTCTGGGAAATGTACTCAGAGTGTCACAGCTAGATACAAGATGGAACAGATTGTTTAGCATAGGTAGTTAACACGCATTTCAAGGGACCATTCAAGGTGAAGTGACCAGTTAGCACTTCTCCAGTCATAAGGACAGGGGAAAGGTTAGTAGGGGATGGTCACAAACAACCACTCTGCATAGTATGTCTTGTCTAATACCTAGCAAGAGTTCAGCTAGCTAAGTGCATCTTGGATTCACCTGCAGTAAAGAAGTACAACCTTGCATGTTAAGAGAATGCATTCTCCTTTCTCCCCTATAGTTGGTGTGGTTGATGAGCATGTCAGAATCAGTCTACCGTTTCTCAGGTAGTTGACCTGCTCTCTTCCTTTTTTAGGCATCTCATGTTCTCCCAGTTACAGTCTGTGATCCTTTGGATCTTAATGGTGTTAGCCCATCCATTGCAATATCACAAAGGTATTTACATAAATGCCCTCTCTGAAGACATCTGTCTCTTATTAAATGTTTCTCTTTCTCTTATGAAATGTATATTATATGTTTCCTCAGTCCATTCCGAATTGTATTTCTTGCTTTGGACAGCTTTATTCCTGTTTTTCATGCACAAGTTAAGAAAATTCTTTTAAATGCAAGATAGTTGTCTTTCAGTCAAAGTTTACACAATATTTTCAATCTCTATTTCTCCCCTAGCCCAGTTTCCCCTTTTTTTCTTGTGCAACTACCATGATTTTGCATTTTAATGCCTTGACTGGAATGTCTGCCTGAAAAAATATTTTTAAAGATACAGACCCAGATACTCAGCTGGTGTTAACTGACATACCTCTATTCATTTCATTTGGTAATAGGCATTACAACATCCAATATCCCTCCTCAACTAAGACAAATCTTAGTTATACCTAGCTGGCATCATTTAGGATTAGCAAAGTGTTCACCTTAAAAATGTTATGATCAGTAAAATAATTTGCTATTCCAACTCCTTAATGTGTGGAGTACTAAATCTTCCACCAAGCTGTCAGATTACTTCAAGGGCAGCTGAAAACAATTCACCATGAAAAGATGGGTAGAACCAGCTTGGAAGACTGGGTACTTTTAAAAATAAGGATACTCATGTTCCTTTTCTGCCCCTGTCCTGTTCACACATATCAGAGACTAGAAGAGTATTTGGATTTCTTCTGTGATATGACTTGTTAAATCTAGTGAATTTCAGTGAGGAAGGGAAGAGGAAAGAGATGATGAACAAAGAGAAACACCCTAATTAATCTCAAATATGCATTTTACAATATTAATCAGTGTTATTCAGGGTGCAAATGCTTTATATTCTTATCACAAATCACAACCACTTTCAACCTTTTCTCTTTTTGATATTATATGTAGATGGTCACCTGCTTAAACACCCCTCAAAGACAACTTCATAGCCCTGGTCTACACTAGGACTTTAGGTCGAATTTAGCAGCGTTAAATCGATGTAAACCTGCACCCGTCCACACGATGAAGCCCTTTATTTCGACTTAAAGGGCTCTTAAAATCGATTTCCTTACTCCACCCCTGACAAGTGGATTAGCGCTTAAATCGGCCTTGCTGGGTCGAATTTGGGGTACTGTGGACACAATTCGACAGTATTGGCCTCTGGGAGCTATCCCAGAGTGCTCCATTGTGACCGCTCTGGACAGCACTCTCAACTCAGATGCACTGGCCAGGTAGACAGGAAAAGAACCGCGAACTTTTGAATCTCATTTCCTGTTTGGCCAGCGTGGCAAGCTGCAGGTGACCATGTGGAGCTCATCAGCAGAGGTGACCATGATGGAGTCCCAGAATCGCAAAAGAGCTCCAGCATGGACTGAACGGGAGGTACGGGATCTGATCGCTGTATGGGAAGAGGAATCCGTGCTATCAGAACTCCATTCCAGTTTTCGAAATGCCAAAACCTTTGTCAAAATCTCCCAGGGCATGAAGGACAGAGGCCATAACAGGGACCCGAAGCAGTGCCGCATGAAACTTAAGGAGCTGAGGCAAGCCTACCAGAAAACCAGAGAGGCGAACGGCCGCTCCGGGTCAGAGCCCCAAACATGCTGCTTCTATGATGAGCTGCATGCCATTTTAGGGGGTTCAGCCACCACTACCCCAGCCATGTTGTTTGACTCCTTCAATGGAGATGGAGGCAATACGGAAGCAGGTTTTGGGGACGAAGAAGAAGATGATGAGGAGGAGGAGGTTGTAGATAGCTCACAGCAAGCAAGTGGAGAAACCAGTTTTCCCGACAGCCAGGAACTGTTTCTCACCCTGGACCTGGAGCAAGTACCCTCCGAACCCACCCATGGCTGCTTCCTGGACCCGGCAGGCGGAGAAGGGACCTCCGGTGAGTGTACCTTTTAAAATACTATACATGGTTTAAAAGCAAGCATGTGAAAGGATTACTTTGCCCTGGCATTCGCGGCTATCCTGGATGTACTCCCAAAGCCTTTGCAAAAGGTTTCTGGGGAGGGCAGCCTTATTGCGTCCTTCATGGTAGGACACTTTACCACTCCAGGCCAGTAACACGAACCCGGGAATCATTGTACAACAAAGCATTGCAGTGTATGTTTGCTGGCGTTCAAACAACATCCGTTCTTTATCTCTCTGTGTTATCCTCAGGAGAGTGAGATATCATTCATGGTCACCTGGTTGAAATAGAGTGCTTTTCTTCAGGGGACACTCAGAGGAGCCCGTTCCTGCTGGGCTGTTTACCTGTGGCTGAACAGAAATGTTCCCCGCTGTTAGCCACGGGGAGGGGGGGAGGGTTGAGGGGGTAGCCACGTGGTAGGGGGAGGCAAAATGCGACCTTGTAACAAAAGCACATGTGCTATGTATGTAATGTTAACAGCAAGGTTTACCCTGAAAGAGTGTAGCCAGTGTTTTATAAAATGTGTCTTTTTAAATACCGCTCTCCCATTTTTTTTCTCCACCAGCTGCATGTGTTTCAATGATCACAGGATCTTCTCCTTCCCAGAGACTAGTGAAGATTAGAAAGAAAGAAAATACGCACTCGCGATGAAATGTTCTCCGAGCTCATGCTGTCCTCCCACACTGACAGAGCACAGACAAATGCGTGGAGGCAAATAATGTCAGAGTGCAGGAAAGCACAAAATGACCGGGAGGAGAGGTGGCAGGCGGAAGAGAGTAAGTGGCGGGCTGAAGACAGGGCTGAAGCTCAAATGTGGCGGCAGCGTGATGAGAGGAGGCAGGATTCAATGCTGAGGCTGCTGCAGGACCAAACCAGTATGCTCCAGTGTATGGTTGAGTTGCAGCAAAGGCAGCTGGAGCACAGACTGCCACTGCAGCCCCTCTGTAACCAACCGCTCTCCTCCCCAAGTTCCATAGCCTCCACACCCAGACGCCCAACAACGCGGTGGGGGGGCCACCAGCCAACCAGCCACTCCGCCACAGAGGATTGCCCAAAAAAAAGAAGGCTGGCATTCAATAAATTTTAAAGTTGTAAACTTTTAAAGTGCTGTGCTTAAAGTGCTGTGTGGCATTTTCCTTCCCTCCTCCACCACCCCTCCTGGGCTACCTTGGTAGTCATCCCCCTATTTGTGTGATGAATGAATAAAGAATGCATGAATGTGAAGCAACAATGACTTTATTGCCTCTGCAAGCAATGATTAAAGGGTGGTTAGCTTGCAGGGAAGTAGAGTGAACCAAGGGGCGGTGGGTTTCATCAAGGAGAAACAAAGAGAACTTTTACACCGTAGCCTGGCCAGTCATGAAACTGGTTTTCAAAGCTTCTCTGATGCGTACCGCGCCCTCCTGTGCTCTTCTAACCGCCCTGGTGTCTGGCTGCGCGTAACCAGCAGCCAGGCGATTTGCCTCAACCTCCCACCCCGCCATAAACGTCTCCCCCTTACTCTCACAGATATTGTGGAGCACACAGCAAGCAGTAATAACAGTGGGAATATTGGTTTCGCTGAGGTCTAAGCGAGTCAGTAAACTGCACCAGCGCGCCTTTAAACGTCCAAATGCACATTCTACCACCATTCTGCACTTGCTCAGCCTGTAGTTGAACAGCTCCTGACTACTGTCCAGGCTGCCTGTGTACGGCTTCATGAGTCATGGCATTAAGGGGTAGGCTGGGTCCCCAAGGATACATATAGGCATTTCAACGTCCCCAATAGTTATTTTCCGGTCTGGGAATAAAGTCCCTTCCTGCAGCTTTTGAAACAGACCAGAGTTCCTGAAGATGCGAGCATCATGCACCTTTCCCAGCCATCCCACGTTGATGTTGGTGAAACGTCCCTTGTGATCCACCAGAGCTTGCAGCACTATTGAAAAGTACCCCTTGCGGTTTATGTACTCGCCGGCTTGGTGCTCCGGTGCCAAGATAGGGATATGGGTTCCATCTATGGCCCCACCACAGTTAGGGAATCCCATTGCAGCAAAGCCCTCCACTATGACCTGCACATTTCCCAGGGTCACTACCCTTGATATCAGCAGATCTTTGATTGCGTGGGCTACTTGTATCACAGCAGCCCCAACAGTAGATTTGCCCACTCCAAATTGATTCCCATCTGACCGGTAGCTGTCTGGCGTTGCAAGCTTCCACAGGGCTATCGCCACTCGCTTCTCAACTGTGAGGGCTGCTCTCACCTTGGTATTCATGTGCCTCAGGGCAGGGGAAAGCAAGTCACAAAGTTCCATGAAAGTGCCCCTACGCATGCGAAAGTTTCGCAGCCACTGGGAATCATCCCAGACCTGCAACACTATGCAGTCCCACCAGTCTGTGCTTGTTTCCCGAGCCCAGAATCGGTGTTCCACAGCATGAACCTGCCCCATTAGCACCATGATGCATGCATTGGCAGGGCCCATGCTTTCAGAGAAATCTGTGTCCATGTCCTGATCACTCACGTGACTGCGCTGACGTCGCCTCCTCGCCCGGTATCGCTTTGCCAGGTTCTGGTGCTGCATATACTGCTGGATAATGCGTGTGGTGTTTAATGTGCTCCTAATTGCCAAAGTGAGCTGAGCGGCCTCCATGCTTGCCTTGGTATGGCGTCCGCACAGAAAAAAGGCGCGGAACGATTGTCTGCCGTTGCTCTGACGGAGGGAGGGGCGGCTGACAACATGGCTTACAGGGTTGGCTTCAGGGAGCTAAAATCAACAAAGGCGGTGGCTTTACATCAAGGAGTATTTCAGGCAGGACTTCACGGAGGGTTCCAATAAGAAATGGTGCACCTAAGTTATTGTTCTTATTGGAACAATGAGGTTAGTCTGGCCTCTGATTGATACATGGCTAGATTTACCTTGCTGCACCTTCTCTGTGAGTGACTGCAGTGTGACCTAGAGGAATGAGTCCCCTAGATGGGGGAGGGGAGGGAAACAAATGAGTACAAAACAAATCTGGTCTATTTCTTGTTTTCATCCACTCCATCTATCTTTTACATCTTTGACTGGCAGCAGACGGTGCAGAAGGACTGCATGCCATCTACATCTCATGGCTGCCCGGCAGAAGATGATGCAATAGGACTGCTAGCAATCCGTATCGCCTGCCTGCTCACCATAAGATGGTTCAATAGGACTGACTGCAGGACTAAAGAGAATGACCTGGTCGAGTCACTCCAAATTTAGTCCCTGCGCCCATGTCTGCCCAGGCGCTCCTGGCCGATGTGGCCAGGAGCACCTTGGACATGACGAGGATGGCTACCAGTCGTACTGTACCGTCTGCTGCCACAAGGCAATGGGTTGCTGCTACTGTGTAGCAATGCAGTAACATGTCTGCCAGCACCCAGGAGACATAGGGTGACGGTTACCTGAGCAGGCTCCATCCTTGCCGTGGTATGGCGTCTGCACAGGTAACTCAGGAAAAAAGGCGCGAAACGATTGTCTGCCCTTGCTTTCACGGAGGGAGGGAGGGAACGGGGGCCTGAGGTTATGTACCCAGAACCACCCATGACAATGTTTTAGCCCCATCAGGCATTGGGATCTCAACCCAGAATTCCAATGGGCAGCGGAGACTGCGGGAACTGTGGGATAGCCACCCACAGTGCAACACTCCGGAAGTCGACGCTAGCCTCGGTACTGTGGAAGCACTCCGCCAAGTTAATGCACTTAATGCACTTAGAGCATTTTCTGTGGGGACACACACACTCGAATATATAAAACTGATTTCTAAAAAACCGACTTCTATAAATTCGACCTGATTTCATAGTGTAGACATACCCATAGATTCATAGATTCCAAGGCCAGAAGGAACCATTGTAATCTTCTAGTCTGACCTCCTGTATAACACAGGCCATAGAACTTCCCCAAATTAATTCCTAGAGCAGATCTTTTTGAAAAACATTGAATCTTGATTTAAAAATTGCCAGTGATGGAGAATACATCACAATTCTTAGTAAATTGTTCCAATGGTTAATTACATTCACTGTTAAAAATTCATGCCTCATTTCCAGTCTGAAATTGTCTAGCTACAATTTCCAGCCATTGGATTGTGTTACATATTTCTCTGCTAGATTGAAGACTCTATTCACAAATACTTGTTCCCCATGTAGGTCCTTATAGACTGTAACAAAGTCACCCCTTAACCGTCTTTTTGGTAAGCTAACTAGATTGAGCTCCTATCACCATAAGGTATATATTTTAATCCTTTAATCATTCTCGTGGCTCCTTCTAAACCCTCTTCAATATATCAACATCCTTCTTGGATTGTAGACACCAGAACTGGATGCAGTATTCCATCAGTGGTTGCATGAGTGCCACATACAGAGGTCAAATAACCTCTCTACTGCTGCTCGAGATTCCCCTGTGTATATATCCAAGGATCACATTAGCTCTTTTGGCCACATGATTGCACTGGGAGCTCATGTTCAGCTGATTACCCACCATGACCTCCAAATCTTTTTCCGAGTCACTGCTTCCCAGGAGAGAATATGGCCTACATTTTTTGTTCATAGTTGTATACACTTACATTTAGCCATGTTCAGACTCATATTGTTTGCTTGTACCCAGTTTACCAAGCAATCCAGATTGAGCTATCCTCTTCATTATTTACCACTTATTTATCATTATTTACCCATTTTTTGTGTCATCTGAAAACTTTATCAGTGATGATTTTATATTTTCTTCCAGATCATTGATTAAAAGGTTAAATAGCATAGGGCCAAAAACTGACCAGTGCAGGACCTCACTAGAAACACACCAACTGGATGATGATTCCCCATTTACAATTACATTTTAAGATTTATTAATTAGCCAGCTTGAAATCCATTTAATGGGTGCTCTGTTAATTTAATGTCATCCTGGTTTTTAAATCAAAATGCCATGCGGTACTAAGTCAAATGCCTTACAAAAGTCTACATTTATTATATCAACACTATTATCTTTATCAATCAAACCTGTAATCTCATAAAAAAGATATCAGGTTAGTTTGACAGGGACTATTTTCCATAAACTCATCTTGATTAGCATTAACTAGATTACCCTACTTTTTGTTTTTTATTAATTTAATCCAAATCAACTGCACTATTATCTAGCATAGGATCAGTGTCAGACTGACAGACTTAAAATTATGTGGGTCATCCCACCTACCCCTTTTAAATATTGGAACAACCTAAGCTTCCTTCCAGTCTTCTGGAACTTCCCCAATGTTCGAAGACTTGTTGAAAATCAGTATTAATGTCCAGTGAGCTACTCAGTCAACTCTTTGAAAACTCTTGGGTGCAAATGATCTGGAACCTGCTTATTCAAAAATATCTAACTTTAGTAGATGCTGTTTATCATAGTCCTGAGATACTAGTGGAATGGACAGAGTATCATCATATGATATAACTGTATCAACTGTTTCTTTCCCAAATGCAGAATAGATATATTTACTGAATATTTCTGTCTTTTCAGCATTATTATTGATAATTCTATCGTTTCCATCTAGAAATGGACAAATACCATTGTCAGGATTCTTTTTGTTATCAAAATACTTTAAAAATCCTTCTTATTGTCCTTAACTCTGCTGACCATAGATTTCATCTTGTGTGCCTTTGCTTCTCTTACCAATTTTCTACTATTCCTAGCTTCTGATTTGTATTCATTACTATCAACTTCCCCATTTTTAAACAATTCCCAATTATCATTCACATTTTTCTGGTTAAATTCTTCCTCCCAACTGGCTCATAAATGTTTTTACTTTGTGAAATTGGCCCTTTTAAAGCACCAAATACATATATTACTGGTCTGGACTTTATTCTGTTTGTGTGTTAATACATATGATCAAGTCATGACTCAAATACTGCTCTCGCACAGATGCAATCCCAGTGAAGTACATAGGGTTACTCTGGGGTGGGTAAGAGCTGTATTTGGCCATCTGAACCTAAATGCATAACAAAGAAATGCCTTTCTTGTGGTTTGTTGGCATTGCACTTGGTTGCAGTGTGAGAGGCTTCCAAATTCCAAGCACAACTTTTGCCATGATTCTCTTTCTTTTCTTTTTTTTTTTTAGCTCTTCTTCCAAACTTTGCTAGGCTTTTGTGTGCTCCGAAGTTAGTAGCAGAGATATTCTCTGGGGCTGGTTAAAAAAATGTCATGCTTAGATCA